CCTTCCTTCCTTCCTTCCTTCCTTCCTTCCTTCCTTCCTTCCTTCCTTCTTGCCAGCTTCTCAATAATATAAATACTTCAAACACACACACACACAAAACAAAATATAAAGTACCAGTGGACTTCCACACCCTTCCAAACAAACAAAACAAAACAAAAACCAGATGTGTGTAACCAGGCTGCCTCTAACAAGGCAGCAGAGTGATGCAAGCGCCTCATTTACCTGATGTCGGTATCTGTCATAAATGCACAGAAAGCTGAAGTCTGGGAGATTGTCCCTAAAGGTCACGTCTGGGTCTTTCAGGTGCAATTGTTCTGTATTCAGTGGGAATGCAGAAAGCACAGAGGATCACTTACTAAACATGAAGCCAGCAGTCTGCCAGGAGCTCCTGTACCCTTCTCAAAGCTGTTTAAATGATTCCTCAGATGAAAACTGAAATCCCTCTTGACCTTGGATGTTTAAAGGCACCCAGAAACATAATGTCCTAAATAACTTACTTTTAGTGTGGAATTAAGTCAAATACTTTTTTTTTTCGTTTTTACTTAAGGTGTTCCAATAATTCCTATCTTTTTTATTAGTTTTGTTTCACCTTCTTCGTGTTTCTGAAGTATTCCAACAATCATTTCAAACGTGGAGAGGGTATTTTCAAACATGGAAAGAGAATTTTCATGAATGGCAAGAATTTTTGCAATTGTTGACTTTACTGGAATTCTAAGTCCTAGTCTTCCATACCATTCTATACTCTGAAGTACAGTAGGAACTGGGCCTGGCTGACAATATTGGTGAAGAGACACACAGTTTAATTAACATATAGTAATATGGGAATGATTTAAAATATTAGAGTTATAACAGGAAATCAAGTCACCTTTATTTGTTTTCATTGCCAAAAATATTATGCTAAATGTTGGCTACAGAATTCATCATACATTCCCAAACACACTGAGAAATTACTTTTAAAAATACAGCCGGAGTCAGATGGAAGCACCCATTAAAGCCTTATTTAGTTAGTGAATGGGAAGCACACATTAAAGCCTTATTTAACTAGGGAGGGGTAGTGTCTAGAAAGGGAAGTTTAGAGAAGTGAGTGCGGTCCAGAGCAGCTGTGAGACCCTGTGTGTCTGCAGCGCCCCAGACCTTGTTAGTGCAACAGCCATAGCATAGAAGCAGGAAAGAG